GCTTCAAGTTCAGTGACTGGGCCCTTGGACACACATCCCAGCCACAAGGCACTCCCTGTAGCTTCCTGCCGGTGCCTGGGACTGGTCTCTAGCAAGGCGTGGAGGAAGCTGAAGAGGAAGAGGAGAGGCCCTCCTTGCTCACCTCCTGCCCAGAGTGTTTCATTCTGAGTGGCTCCAGCCAGACCCCATAGATCAGGGAAGGAGTGGGTGGGGGCTCCTGGTGAAGCTGACCCCTCCACCCAACACCCCCAGGGACAAATTGAAAGTGAGAACAGGGGTTGGGGGAAAGGACTAGCACCACCCCCGCCCCTAAAATAGCTCAGCACAAAGCCCATGGACAGTCCTTTCTCCTTCCCTTTCCCCCAGGAGCCCGCATGGCCCCTCGGGGCCTGTTCTTTGTGTTCCCAGGAGAGCTGAACACACATGCACGGTCCAGGGCTCATCTGTCACCTTCCTCTCCCAGGTGCCCTGTGCATTCCCCGCGCCCCAATCCAGAGGAGTGGCTTGAGGGATGAGACGTCTGTCTGGCTGCTGGATGGGTAAGTAGGGAGAGGCATGCTCTGCCCTCCTCCGCTCACCCCGGGAACGGACCCGCTAGAGTGTTTGTGTCATTTCCGGGGAGCGCACAATAGGTAGCATCATCTCCCTGTCTCGTGCTGATCGCGGTCCACGGCAGTGCTTTGGAGAATTCTCCCTTTTGTGCTTGGCGTCGTCTTCGTTGGTCAAGGCTGGTCTCCCAAGGAGCGTGGGACGCTGGTCCAAGGCTGTGGCATGAGATGCTCACCATGCCCCCGGGAGAAAGGGGTCCCAAGCCTTGGGTACCCGGCTCAAAACACTGGTCGGCCCCGTGTGACATGCACCGGGCGTTGGTGGGCGCTGCGCAGGCTCCCGCCGCGGCCTCGGGAAGGCAGCGCCTTGGACGCCAAGGTTGGGAGTGTCTGTCGGGGTCTCCAGGCGGGGCTCACAACATGTTGGTCTCCTTCTCGTTCTTCGAGGATCTCTCGTTGATGGACGACATCCTGGTCGAGTTCCTGTAGCTGGGGTCGGGGTACTGGCCCGTGTCCTCACTCAGAGCGCTGGCCAGGCGGGAGAAGAAGGTTACCCTGAACTTCTTGAAGTCCTGACCCATGAAGGCATACAGGATGGGGTTCATGCAGCTGTTGGCAATGGCGAGGACCGTGGCCAGGGGCAAGCCCAAGGTGAAGATGGAGGCAGGCACGGAGGTGTGGTGGAGCTCCAGGAGGTAGAGGGTTTGGTAGGGGCACCAGCAGAGGAAGAAGGTGATGATGATGGTCAGGATGATCTTGAAGGGCTTCTTGCTCTTGGCCAGGCGGTTGCGCCGGAGCTTGCAGACGATGGTGACGTAGCAGGCCGTGATGATGAGGACCGGGATCAGAAAGCCACAGAGGAAGCGCATGACGCTCACCGCCAGGTGCCAGCGGAACCCCACGGAGCCCGGATGAAGGTGTGCGCGCCCCAGGGAAGAGTTGGCCTCTCCCAGGCTGAAGTTGCTGAAGCACACTATCTTCCCGTGCACGAGGACCGTGTCCCGGAACACGAGGGAAGGGAAGCTCAAGAGGGAAGCCAGGACCCAGATGACCACGCAGGCCACGTAGACCAGCTGTATGCTGCGGTGGTTCTGGGACCAGACGGGGAGGAGCACCGCGATGCAGCGGTCGAAGCTGATGGCCATCAGCAGAAAGACGCTGGTGTGCATGTTGTGGTTGAGCAGGAAGTTGCTGAGCTTGCACATGGCCGTCCCGAACACCCAGTGATAGTCCGCGGCCACGTAGGCGATGTGGAAGGGGAGGAAGAGGTTGAACAGGAAATCGGCGATGGCCAGGTTGACGAACCAGATGGTGTTCACCGTCTTCTTCACCTTGAAGGTGGCGATGAAGATCACCAAGCCATTGCCCAGGATGCCCAGGCAGCAGATGACGCTGTAGACCACCACCAGGAAGATCCTGATCGCCCTGCCTTCCGGGGGTGGAAACTCCTCCAAAACCAGGATGGCTTCAGGGTCCTCAGGGTACTCGTAATCATAGTGGTAATCGTAGGAGTTGTTGTAATCCTCCCCCTCCATGCTCTGCAAGGGGAGAGACCAAGGTCATGAGCAGAACCTGGACTGGAACTGCCTTCAAGAGGCCAACCAAGATCAGCAAGCCCGACAGTGTTCTCCCTGGCAAGGCACAAGGCCGGTTCCTTAGCTTAACTACTTCCCGTTTTGCTATTTTATTTACTTAACAAATAGCTGACCAGCACCTCCTACACACCAGGGACTGTTCTGAAGCCTTGACATACACAAACGCTCTTCATCCTTGCAAAAGTTCAGCGAGGTAGATGGGTTAGGAACCCCATTTTACAGGGGAGGCAACTGAGGCACCGAGCACTTAAGTGATCCATCCCAGGTCATTCAGCTGAAAGTTAACCCAACTTCAGAATCTATCCTCTGGACAGCCATGTTTTGCTGCCTCTCTGGAACCCTCCCTCACCTTACAGTCCAGCGGGGGAGACAAACATTCATCCACAATTCCATGATCATGGAAAAAGTGGGAGGAACAACGCTAAATGCCATGAAGGAGAGGTGCACAGGGCCATGAACTCGGTCCCAACCGTGTTCCCAAGACCCAGGGGACAGCTATGCGGTGCTCCCACCTGGTCAGGGGACCCGACTGGCGCCCTTTGGAGATATGCGCTCAGACCCCAAGAGTGGCTCACCGTTCACTGTTAAGGTGTCCAAAGCTCTCCGGGGTGGGTCCTCGGCTGGTCAGTCACCATGCACAGCTGGAAACACCTGCAGGGAGAACAGGAGGCAGCTGTTGGGTCCCGGTCTCAGAGCCACCACGCTGGTGCGCTCTGAGAAAGGACCTCTTGTCGTCATTCCCGATTCACGGAAAAGGAAGCAGGGATGTGCCTGAGGTGACCCAGCTGACGAGCAGCTGAGCTGGAATTGGAACCCAGGATCCTGATGCCCTGGAATTACTGCACTTCCCACCACCAAAGCTCCTCCCATCTGGACAAACGGACTCCAAGCAGGTAGATGTCTGAGCCCGGCGAGACGGCCAGTCGGTGCTTCATTACCCATCCCTCCAGCTTCCCTCCATCCAAATTCATCGCCGCTCCTTCACGGACTTGCGGTTATATTTTATTGCATAAGAGCCGTCATCTGATTTTATTAAACAAGAGCTACTTGTAAAATTCCATTGAGGACTCTGGGCTCCAGGGATTCTGAATTGGAGCTGGGGTGTCGACCCCACTCCGCAGGCTGGGAGCAAATTCCAGGGGTGCCCAGTAATGGGTCCCCAGGCCCCCAGGCAGGAGGTGGCAGAGCCGGGACTGGAGCCCCGTCTGCAGAACCCGGGCTCTTCCCATTGCTCCATGCTGCCCCCAAATCGTGATGTGATGACTGAGTATCCACATCCCCTACGCTGTGCAGGCCCCAGGGACAAGGAAATGGCTCTTTTAGCAGGAGGGCTGCCTGCGCTCCAGTCATCACATCCACGCTCCAGGCAGGAAGCTGGGAAAGATGAAGGAGGGGTCTCCACGGGAGCTCATAGTCGGTTGCAAGACACCAGGCAGAAGAAGTGCTCCCAGGCCGGGAAGGGGTGCTTCTTGGTTTTAAACCATCAGCTGACAATCTAAAACGACAGAAGGAGCCCTAGCCGGTTTGGCTCATTGGATAGGGTGTCGGCTTACTGATCTGAAATGTCCCGGGTTCGATTCCGGTCCAGGGCACGTACCTCCGTTGCAGGCTCGATCCCCGGCCCTGGTCGGGGCTCCTGTGGGAGGCAACCAATCCATGTGTCTCTCTCACATCGCTGTTTTTCTCTCTGTGTGTCGCTCCCCCTCCCTTCCACACTCTCTATAATCAATGGAAAAATATCCTCGGCTGAGGATTAACAACAACATCCACAAAAAAGATGATAGAAGGAGGGAGGAGGGTGGGCCCCACCTCCCAGCATGCCCCCCTTTTTGGCAGTCGGGAGGGGGGTGTCTGAGCCCCTGGAGGAGGGTGGAAAGGAACGGGGACTCAGGACCGAGCTCTTGGCGCTGCGGTGTCTGCAGAGACCCTCTGGGGACACAGATGACGTCACGTCTGGCTCTCCGGCTGGGCTAGGAGCAGCTCAGGGTCAGGGGCCACCTCTTTCCATCTTTGAATGGGGGCCAGGCTGGGCCGGCACAGGGTGGCGCTGACATATTATGGGCATGTCTGCCCGCTCACCCCTCACCCCTCCTCCTGAGAGCTGAGTGAGTCAGTGTCCCCAGTTGGTATGTGTCCTCCCCCCACCCCAGTCCCTCGGCTCTCCCTGGACGGGGACCCCAGTCACAAGTTTGCATTTGGCCTCTATTCTGTCCCCACAGACATCCCTCCTGTCCTGAGCTCATTTCTGTCACTAGACCATGTAGTTCTGAGTTGAATGGTCAAGGACACCGATTCTGGGCTGCCTCACATCCTCAGTCGGTATGAACTTCCTATGACTTTGAACAAGTCAGTTACCTTCTCTGCACCTCAGTTGTCTTATCCATAAAATGGGCACGATCACAATCCTTGGGAATGGTTGAGAGGCTTAAATGTCACATGCAAAGTAACTTAGAGTAGTATTGTTACTGGGTCACTATGTTGTTATTGTTTTTATTACTGTTCTTTTTATTATTATTGTCATGGTGATTATTATTTCTTGGGCTTCCACTCTTAACTCCCTCCTGAAATGGCCGTAGCCTGGGAAGGTGGGAGGACCAATGCATCCTGCCCACTAGTCTCCCAGCTCTGGGTTCAAGGACAGGTCAAGGGCAACATAGGCAAGGATTTTGCTTCTCTAAGCTCCAGTCTCCTCATCTCCCCAACGGGGGTAAGAACCTCTCCCTCATGTTGCCAGGAGAGTCATGGGACAGGAGAATGAATCCTTTGCCAATTATAAGCTGTAAAGAGCTATAAAATTCTAGTTATTCGTATTTCTTAAACCCTCACAACCAGGAAGCTCATGAAAAAAGAATCTATAACTATATATACATAACATAGGTACACACATAGGTAACATGTATTTGAGTATTCACCATATGCCAAACACTGCAATGCAAGACTCCATGCAATGCTGCCAACCGCCCTGCAAGGATATCAGTTTGCAGGGAAGAGAACTGAGGTTCAGAGAGGTGAAGCAACTTGCCCGAGGCCACACAGCTGGGAAATCTGACTCCAGAACCCAGCTTCCAAGTCTCATGCTCCCTTTGTTTCCCTGATGGCTAGGGGGCCCTCAACCCCACCTCTCTGAGTCCTATAAGCCTCAGCCTGGAATTCTGAGAGCCCAGACCTTCATCACACTCTTCGTCCTCCACGGAGCTGCCTTCCCCGAGCCACCTCACGTTTTCTTAAAGGCTCCGTGAAAATCACACCTGCGATGTAGGTCCTGGACGATGGAAATGCCCCCTGCCCTTTTGGGGTGCCCTTATGAAGCCCCCTTCCCAGTGAGAAGTGCCCTTGAGAATTCAGGGTGGGGAACACCATTGCTTCCCCTGCAGAACTGGACTGCTTCCTCATTCTTGAACATCCAGGTCCTACCACGGATCATGTTTCCCTTTTTGACCTGGCCACAAGGAAGCTCTGAATCACATTTGCAGGTCAAAAGTAGCAATTCCATTGACCCTGCTGGTCTGCAGGTTTTTGCGTTGGTTTGGGTTGGTCCTTGTGTCTACATCTATTATACTTGATATTGGTTTTAGTTCCTTATAATAAACTAGAGGCCTGTTGCATGAATTCGTGCACCAGTGGGGTCCCTCGGCCTAGCCTGCAGGATCTGGCTGAAGCTGACTCTCCGACATCCCCCAAGGGGTCCCAGATTGTGAGAGGGCACAGGCCAGGCTGAGGGACCCCACCAGTGCACGATCGGGGCCGGGGAGGGATGCAGGAGGTTGGCCAGCCGTGCCCGTCCTTTCCTTGGACAGTTCCCATAGGTCCCTGGGAGAGGATGCCAGGGAGAATTTGATACAGAAGGCAGGAGATCTGCTGTGACACCTGAGCAAGTCGCTCCCCCTCTCTGAGCCTCAGTTGTGCAATCTATAAAATGGGAATGATAGTGGGTGCCATACCTACTTCTCAGGGCTGCTGGGAGGATGCGCTAAAGTGAAAAAGATGAGCTTCTGGAATGAGGACTGGGAGGGAGACAATCTCTAGATTCCTCTCTTTTTGTAACTCTTTTTTTTATAACTTTACTTGGAAATAAGTACAGACTCACAAGAAGTTGCAAGAATAGTACAGAGCAGTCGCGTACCTACCACCCGATTGCCCTCCAGGGCTGGAAGAGAGGGGACGGGTGAATGCTGCGCAGCTGTTAGAAGCCACAGCTTATCTAGGGCGCATGCAGCAAAGCGGAATGCAAGCGTCCTGAAGCCACCTCCCCTCCCAGCACTGAGTCCATTGGAAACATGCTTGCACAAGCAGCCACACGCACAATTTTGTGTGTTTTTTGGTGTGTGTTTTTTTGCAAGAACACATTGGAATCACAAGATACACACTGAACCAATTAGGATACACATTGAACCAATTAGAATGGTTCTGTGGGAGCGGAAATAGGGGTGGGGGGCAGGGAGTAGAAAGCAGGGCTGAAAGGAAATCAATGCAGTAAGGAAAGTAAGACCAGTCAGCACGGGCTTCCGGAGGCCAGAGGCGACGCAGACGGAGGTGGACGGAGGGGTGTCATCATGTTGGCCCTCCCGCCCCTCCCGAGGTCCACAAAAACCCACAGCAAACAAACGGACACCCCAAAGCCCTGCCTGGGGGTTCTGTTTGGGCAGCGCCTGGGTCACTGAATCCCGGATGAAGCCACACTGGGCAGGCCCGGGCCCCACCCTCACAACCTCCTCCCCTGTCGGGCAGGGAATGAACTCGGAGGAGCCAGGAAGTCACAGCATCGGCCCAGTTGGAGGCGGCTACGCAGTGGCCCAGGCCCTGGCACCTCTTTGGCGAGCCTAGCCCCTGCCAGGAACCAGATGGTCACCAGGCAGAAGGTCCCGCTGCAGATGGTCCCGCCCTGCCCAGACCCTGGGGGAGGGGTGGACCGGGGCTCAAGGTCACATCTGGTCCTCCCACCACCAAGAGCAAAAACCTGAGACAGACGTTCTCTGCTTAATTTTTGTGAAACAACCCTGTCTGCCCTCCAGGCGCCGTTCTGAGCACTGTTCCAGACGGGGAAACCGAGGCCCAGAGAGGGTCATGAGGGGCCCAAGGTCACACAGCTGGCTCACGGAAGCCAGGCAGAGCCTATTGGTCATTCTGAACAGAAGAGGAAGCTCAGAACCTCCTGAGCGGCCAAACCCACTCTCTGTCCTTGTCCGCTGCTTGATCCCTCGGAATGTTCCGGAATCCTCTGGTCTTTGCCCCCTGGAACCTCCCAGGAGCCTCCAGGAGGTCATTCTGGAAGGGTTCTGGGTGTGCCTTTGACGGATGGGGCAAGGCGAGGCTTCTAGTTCCCTGGGATTTGCCCTCAAGCCCCTCTGCGTTTCGTCAGTGGCCCAAGTGGGACTGTGTCTCAATCCCAGAAGCTCTGGGGAGGGTGCTGCGGGAGCGAAGCTCACTCACCCGTCCGTCCTTCGCAGACATGCGCAGCCCACTGCTCCTTGGCCCTAGTGGGGAGGCTGGGGGGCCGCGGACACCCTGTGATCACCTGGGCCTCCCCCTACTCCTGCAGGGTCGCTGGCATCAGTACCGATCTACCAAGGGGGAGGGGGTCACTCGCCCAAGGTCACTCACCTAGTTAGCGGGGACTTGAACCCAGGTCCTGGTGACTCCAGCGCCCCCCT